AAAACCCTGTTCTTGTATTGACATGCAATTGTAACAAGACAAAAAAAAATAATTGATTTAAAAACCTAATACACTAATAGAAAGAAAAGATCTATACTGATATTTGTGTACAAGTATCAACAGGTACAGATTCCTGGTTTGTCTACACGCGAGGTTTCAGCCTCTGCTCTCTACACTTCAATTAAAGAACTACAGAAGGACTTGATAAACACAGTTGTGAAACTATTGTAAAACTACAATTGATTCTGTACAACAAGTTTTAGCAAATGCATACTTCACTAGACTGCCTTACAATCCTATCAATATATCAAGTTTCATTGAGCTTGACACGTCACCTGGGTAATTTACCTCAATGTGAGATATATTTTTTTTTTTTTACATCACATTTATCATAGAAATCTGCACTAAACAATTAAAATCACATGAATGACTACACTGCTATAAAAAGCAAATAACTTGTCAAGTTTTCTCTGGATATTTCTTGAGGATCAATACAGTTCCACAATCACATTGCAAATTTTCTCATTTTTGGTACACAGATATTATTCTTTTAATAATAAAAAAAAAAACTGACAACCTCATTTTTGAGAAAAATGTACAAAAAAACATTGCAATTTTTCTGAAACTCTTGGTAATGGTGGGGCATGTAGAGACAAATAAAAAATACCGGGTCATCAATGTTTTTAAAGTGATACATTTTAATACAGGTATGATATCATTTTTCCCCGCATAAAAACTGTTACACAACCACTTTGAAGAGGTGACGTAGCATCTGTAACAGCCATATACTCAAGTAAATCATTGAAATTTTTACTCGTTTCACACACATAGATTTAATGAGAAAATTAGAGTTACTTCAAATTGTCTAAGATTGTGCGCACATCAAAAAAGTTAAACTGTATTGAACCTCCTTAAATGATCATCTGATCATCTTTCTTTGCTTATCTTCATACTTTCTACTGACAGCAACATACTTTCTACTACAGCAACAAAATTACATGTGAAATCTGTTAGCTGACAGAAAAAGATAATGCAATTAAATAATTTAGATACGAAAGCTTTCAAACTTTCCATCAATATGCCGCAATCGTAGATACGTATCACTGCCAATGCCTTGCATACTTTGTATTTCCAAAGATCCGCCAAGAAATTTGGCATAGGCATCAGCTGTTGGTAGTCCAAAGCCAAAGCTGCAATACAAGCACAGAAATAAAAATTAATTCCCACTGACATAGCTAGATATTAGTCTTAGCCACTTGGAGGCAAAGTGACAACATTTAGTTGTCATCAAATCTAAACGTAAAAGCGATTTAAAACTCCTTAATAATTCTACTCAATACGTCGAATGAACAACACTTACCCATGCATGGGTCCACCACCAGGTCCTTGCTGGTCAGAGTTCATCATTTCACCAAATATACCCCGACTGACTCTGTCGTCATCGACACGACCAGAAGTGGTATAATGATACTGAAACACTTTATGAACATCTGGGTGTGGAATTCCCCCACCGCGGTCAGAGATTCTGAAAAAATAGAATATTGTCATCACCTGACTGTTTTCATTCAATAATAGCAAAGAAATTGCATGTACACTACTTGGTAATAATTATGTTATCAGTATTGTTATTTATTTTCATGTCCTATTTCGGTGACAGCATCACCTGCATCATAGGAATCACTGTGTAATGAATGCAGCAGTGTTGAGCATGCCTGGCAAGCATCTTTCACTCTATTCTGTCCTTGGTTGTAAACAATTAAACTCTCGCTCCACATACACACTCTCTTCTCTCTCAAGAAATTAATCACCATACACCAACTGAAAGGCGATACTCGTTAGTAGATACTTACCTTATAATGAAATCATTGTCATTATTAGCAATAGTTAAACTTATATCCGGTACGTTATTAGGATTATCCAAGTTCGCCTCCATAGTTGCCCTACAAGATTATATAACAGATATGGGTAAATATTCACTTAGGCGATTACAATTTATTGTGGGCGGTCCTCGTTACAATTCAGAGAGAATCAAATTGGGCATGATGTCATAGGGGAAAATCCCTGCTAGATATTGAACTAAATTACTACAGGAAATAACAAGCACAGCTTGAAATCAACGTAAGGTTTTTGTACAAATGTAAACATACAAGAATAGACTTACCTCATGGCATTTTTGAGTAATTCTGGCAGTATATAGTCAAGTGGTACCTGGATGTATGGAAACGTTGCGTTCACATGACCTTTCAGTTTCACATTCGGAAAATATCCATATTTTGATTCACTCAATTTCCTGTTGGTATTAACAAAATGAATGAAATGCATGTATATGTATCAACCAAGATCAGTTGAAGCTAGAATGATCTGACTGCTATGAATATATACAACTGCTAGTGTCACCTCCAACATCTGACTAATTACAAATCACAGGATTCATCAAGCACGAGTACTGATTGGTTGCTGATCCTACAAGACTTGATGTGAATTATTTAGGTAAAATATTACCACACTGACATTCAAAATAGAACAGCGCCCTCTACCTGACAACTGATTTTTTTTTTCCTCATAGGACCTAGTATTACAATTGTTACAGCTTTCAACATAAGCATAGTTTAATTTCAGTATGCTAGTTAAAGCCCTGTTTAAATGTAAAATTAAATTTAGTTTCATTTTTTTTTCAATGATGGTTTTTTGAGCATAACAAAATGTTGCCATTGTTGTCAGAATGTGATAACAAACCGAAAAGACTGAAAGTAATGTGCCACCCAACTTTGTTTCATGTACCCACAAGCACACAAGATGCTCAACGTCTGGCAACACAATGTTTCACAAATTCAGTTTATTACCGCCACAGCGATGCATTTTTATGTTTTTTTTCCCTACAATTTCTTTGTTAATTCAGGACATCATTCAAATTGTGCACAGGTGCTAATCAACATTTTAAAATAAACTCGGGGGGGAGGGGAAATTATGCAAGTTTGAATTGTGAAGGGTGATTTTGAAATACGTACAAGAGCAAGATTGATGTACTTACTGTGAGAAGTCCACCCAGTTATCCACTACCTTCCTCAGAGACATTTGTGTATTTATAATACCAACATGATGAGGCTGTGGAAGGAAGGGGGTTTTAATAACATACACAATACAGTCTGAAACAATTACACAATCTCCTGTAAAGGACTGCGAAATGTTACGTTGAACAGGTGTCATTTAATTATTTAGCCATTAATAAAACCGTTTTTTATATAAATGTTATTACATAACTATGTTTACGCAAATACAACGACCAGACACGTTAATTGGCCAATGAAGAGTTATAGCATCACGGTGTGATTCTAATACCAAACATGTTTTATAACTTATCACTTTGTATTTGCTCTATTAGAAATGCATGAGCTCACATGAGCTGATAGTTTACATACAACAGAAGAGACTTGTTACGTTTCCACTATCGGCAAAGTGAGTGATTCACTTCTATTAGAGCAAACACGATATGTTTACTGTTGCTGCAAGAGAATGGAATGGCAATATGAGACACAGTTTTGGTAACAAAATAGCTACATTACACAAAGTGTTTGCAATGGGGAAGCAATGGCTACACCGAGTAATACAGGTATATCATCAGAAAAACAGTGTCTCATACTGCAATATTGTCATTCTATTCTTTCTTCCAGTCATAATAAACTAACTCCTTCTCACGATACAGTTCTCATTAAAAGCGGTATCATCATATTCATTAATATCACCATTGATATCATATACCTGAAAGCAGAGATTTCTAAGTTTGTCAGGGTCAAGGACTTGAAGAGCATCTTTGGCAGGGGAATAGATAGAACAGCTGACATGACCTACATTGATCTATTTAATGAGCTCACTAGCGTGAATACTGAAGGTAAATGGTCAATATGGAAAGGTCCTCCCATTGGCACTAGACATAAACATAAATCCAGATACGCGTGTACGATTTAAAATGACTTCACTCCTATAGCAATTGCAATATACCCCATTCAAGTCCAAAGACAAACAAACTCAGAAGCCTCAAACGTGTGTAAATATGTCATCCTGACTCTCAGCTAGCCAGTCTTCACAACATGCGTGCATAACCTGCATGGCTAACCGAGATGTCAGAATCTGTGTAACAGTGTCTGCCAAGTTAGCATGGTCTGCAAGGTAGAAACAACCAAAAACAACACAGGAGATGGGAGAAGAAAAGAAGCAGCCTTGTATTAAATACTGTAGGTTTATATTAGTAGTGTGTGTGTGTGAATGCAGTTGTGTGTGCACTATGTATGCGAGAAAAGGTGTCCTAGTGAAGTCTACAGCCACTCAAACCAATTAGTAGAAATGTACATCCATAATGGACCTAATTGGCACGGAGGTCCTCACCTCTACTTTTCAGCCTGTGAAAGTAAGCAGAAAGGGGAAAACTACCATCAGTGCTTGTGAACTCTCCACCAACATCTAGAATTTTATCTTACCTTTATGGGCCGCTTGACAACTGGGCATGCATTGGACAAACAATTTTTTTTTTTAGCTTTTCAGGTATTGACCAAACTTGTCCGGCATCAATATCAGAGGGTATTGATTGATCGATCGATCAATCAAAACAAAACAAACCCAGTCTCATTTGTCCCTTACTAGTATGCACAAGAATTTAACACATGCAGAGAAGTGTGAATAAATGTCCTACCCTTTCTATCTTCAATGCTAAGTGATGTTCAGCAAGCATTCGCAGCGCCAGACGAGAAGTAAGCGTGTTGTCCAGAAAGCGCCGTACCAGTTGCTCATCCTGAAATTACAACACGCATTCATAGCTTAGAAAAATGGATTTGTAATTATATAATATTAGCATGATCCAACTGGCCAACAGACTCAATAGACCTACGTATAATGACATACCACGGTTACACTCCAATTGATTTTGGTATGTCAGTGAAGATTTCAGAGTTATGGAAAGGTGGGCCATTTTACCTTAATATGCCTTCTGCTTTCTTTGAAGCCCTCCGCCAGCATTGTAACAACATCTTTGTGATCATCAAGCAATCCTCGTACCATCTGACTGTATTTCTGCTCATCTTCAAAATCTCTAATCTGTCAGGAGTATAGTGCAAAATTCATTATATAGCTACTACTTGGAATAACAGGCTGGCTGACTGCTGACCAATTGTAACCGCACTGTGTGGCGTTAGACCAAATTAGTGTTCTCCACAGAAAAATAGTATAGCTAAAGTTCATTTGCATAACGATAAAATGTACTCATCGCAGATATAGTATTCCTTGTTATTATAACAAGTCATTGAAAATGACACAGTCCCCGTTAAGTTTTCTTTGTGCTCGTCATATTAAAGCAGGGGTTGTCGCGAGCGTGTCCTTGAAACTTGAGTTCCAAGTGGCGTGTACAACAGATTGTTTATTTACATCAAAACACGTGTTTCGTGTCATAGTAATATGGCCAAAATAAAAAC